GGGGAATAGGGAAGTAACAGACTGCATAATGACTTTCCTTTTCTCCAGTGCTCTCCAAAATCGGGCGCTACGACGCGCATCATCGCGAATTCTGACGCTGTTTTAGTTATATGGAGCGTATTTGTTCGTATTTGTACAGTTTGCGGGTTTTAGGAAAAACTAGATGGTTTTGTTGTGGACTCGGATGATAACGACGACGAATATTTCCCAAATAAGAAGAAAAGGGTTCGTGCACATGTCATTTTCCATAGTTAATCCCTTCCATTGGCTGGAACAGAGTGCTGTCATAGAAAAATTTAGCGTTTATCAGTTACTCCTACGAAGATCGAACCGGAAGTGAAACGAAAGAGAGGTCCGAAGGTAAGTGTCATTGAGGATGTTTTAATAGTAGGGTTTGGTAGGTTTCTAGTATGTGATCAATGGATTACTCTTGGATCTTTTACCAGAAACGCACCAACGTAGATGTCCCACGAAAGAAGCCGGGTAGAAAACCTCGCTCTACGTCTATTTCGATTAAGGAAAGCTCAGCCAACGACACAAGTAGATCAAGAAAGGTTTGCTTAGTTGTTTTTTTCCTCCCAGATGATTTTTGAGATGATGATTCAGACAATATTTCTCAGGAATCTGAAGCGGAAGATCGTTTGGAGGTAATACGGTATGTCTTTGATGGTGGGTCGCGACGAAGCAGATCACCAGCAAAGGAACTTCTGAATTCACGAAGGTCAGCTACTAGTTCTGACTTCTCTCTAGTGATTAGCCGAGTTACAGTCAGCAATATGCACCTCGCTGCCAGCTATCAGTCAGTCCATATCTGAAAATGTGCTGTACGCTCATCTTCGAGATGGTTGTTTTTTCATGCGAGGTCATAGGTCTGCAACTGTCGGAGCGTTTCACCTTCGCCGACAGGAAATGCGTGGGAATGAGCTTAAGGGGAGGGGGGGGGCGTGGTGGATATCTGTACTTTCATAGCGCTGCCCTCCAACCTCATTTCTGCATTCCTGTTTCTTTCTCCCTTTTAGTGACGCCCTAAGAGCCACTTGTACGACGGCGAACCTCTTAGGAGACCGGGTGTCTTCAAGCATATTGCTTCAGGCCTAGGGTATTTAGGTTTTCGTCTGCGGAGCGACTTCCTGAACGATGGTTTCATGTTATAGAAGAGAACGCCAAAGAAGAATGTTTACGGATGACTCGTGAAAAGCTCGCAAAGATATTTACGTGAGTTTTTCTTTTTTTTGGATTGGAGTGAGCTAAGCTGTAATGAGGCATGCTGTTTCGCGTGCCCTGCAATGGCGGCACAAAGTGGGTCGCTGCTCTCATGTCTCCGTTTCATTAGTCTACTTTTTGGAACAAGTTTTACGTTCGACAGAGGACTTGTATCTGAGTCCTCTGTCGAACGTCGTCGTGTATCTGAGTGATGTTAGTCTTATGACCCCTCTAGGAGGTACCAGAAGATCGTTAGCAATGGCTTTGCTTCTCGATAAATAGCGTGGCACGACTTACGTTAGCGAATCCCATGTGGAGGCTCTTACGTGTCCCTGAAGGGTGAAGGTCATTGTTTAAAAAAAGGATCTTTCGGCATTTTGGCACGGAAAATTTCGGAAAAAACGGGAACCGTAAGCAGAAGTGGGGAGATTCGATGAGGAAGGGGGGGGGGTGGGGAGCAGTCGTATGAGAGGAGGAAGTATCGAGGGGGTCGTGTTCCGCAAAAGTTCTCTCTAGCGGCAGATCATTCCACATACAAAATAGCCATCGAGCCAACCCGCTGATTCGAATGCAGTGATCACGATGGCTGGAGACGGGCGATTGTTGCCGACGTCATTGGTGGAAGAGCCAAGTGGAGCATGAGCGAACGCCGTCCCACACCGGTCCACCAATGACGCTGGCAACAACCGTCCGTCTACAGCAAACCTGCCCACTGCCTTTATAGGGAGTGTTGAAAGCTATCTTTGGTAGCTTTAGTTTCTTATGACGCATAAACTCATTTTTTTCACTTGATCACACTCAGCCAGCAGGTCCTTCACATATCGTGGGATTGCCTTACAAATCTAATAGAGCTTATTCCAGATCTCGTTTTGCCGCCTCTTCTGATGATTTATCCCATCGGCGCCAAATGATCGTTTCCATGCGAGAAAGGGATGCACCGGCAGAAGTACGCCACTGATTATGAGCTTGTTTCACTTTCTTTGAGGGTGACCTTAGGAGATTATTTGCAGGATGAGCCACGACAATATCGGGTAGTTGGTTCAAGCCTTCTTAAAAAATTGCTGAAGGAGAACGATATTTCGTGCAAGGTTCGCGAGTTCTAGTCCAGGCCCCCGACTCGCTAACCTTCAATCACCTTTATTATTGTTTTCAGCTACCCTTCATTCCCATTCCCGTGCCTGAGCCCATCAAATGCGACGCTAGCGAGGCCTCTGAAGCTCTGCGAAAATTCGATGAGATCAGTGAAGGTGCCATTTACTTCCGGTCTGATTTTATTGGTTGTTTCTGAAGTTATTGTCCTTTTGTAGCTGGCGATCCTGCACCCGTTCATCTCTCTGCAAGTGTTGCCAGAACGGATTGTTCACTTGCGGAACTTCGTAAGTATGCAAACGAGCAAAGCATTGAAGATTCGCTCGTATTTATGGATGCAGTTCTCGAGAAGGGCACAACTCTGTCCCACGTGAGTGCATTATTCGTTTAAGCGTTGGTACGAAGGCAGTGATTATGGCAAAAATTATACGCGAAAATTCCAGCCACCAGGAGTAGGAGGGTGGACAACATGGGAGTCCCCTTCTCTGTGTACCTGGGGATGGCTTTGTACCTGGAGTACCAGCTATTTCGTTTCTCGTTCTTGTCAATGGCCATATGCCACCGGTCCAGATGTCATCATATTGCAGTTCATGACCAGCTTCAATAACCTTCCCACGGCGTCCGCGCTACGCCGCGTCTCAGTAGTCTCTAGGCATAGACGACTTGAAGACAAACTGCGCACTCATTCTGTAAATCCTCGTTCTTGCACGTGCGAGGTAAATTTCCCGTATCTGCAATAGCATGCCACTTTTGGAGTATACTGGTACACGGCTGCCGTCTCCAACTCTGCCCGCATTACCACACTGCGAGCCACGCGCCTAACCATAGCCAAACACGCTACTTGTCTGCGCCCTCTCCACCTAATTGTTCTCCACCTCTGACGTTCACTGCGGATTTTTGGTATCAACACAAGTGCTACCAAAAACCCCTTGGAGATAGCAATGGTAGAGTCACAAACGGCACCCGGGTATCATATCCTATCCCGGGTCCTTCAGCTTATTTGCGTTTAATTAGAACACTGTCTCCCTTTTATAGCTGCCAACTCATTCTGCTCGCAAATGGCTATGACCAGCCATGGCTTGCAATGGTTTCACAGCTCCTATCCGTTTAAATCGTGCAGAAAAGCCATGGTGCGGCGTAAACGTCCCCTACAATTCCTGATAATAGCACGCGACGAGCCCTGGACGTTGATTAATCTGCTAGAAAGAGTTGTCCCACACACGAGTACGAGTTAGGTAGGAGAATCCTGTTTGTAATTGCATGGCTAATTTTTCTAGGCATGCACGCATCTCTCGACAACTTTTGAATTACACATCTGCCCACTTCACCACTACGTGAACAGTGCAGTATGGGCGCAGTTCGGCTTGGTGGGGGCATTTTTCTGGTTCCCATTGACCACTGCCGACGCTTTCTGTGAAGTCCTGGGAATTCCCTGAAGCTAGGCAATAGCGTGAGCTTTCTTTACACTTGACCGGACTCTGCAGATCTCCCATGCGACGTGTAATTCAAGAGGAAGTAGCAGAAGGGACCAGCGAAAGTGCAAAATGCCCCTCGAAGTCGAAAGCGCCTTCTTGCGTTGACGTGTCAAGGGTGTGACTTATAAGGGTAGAGAGGAATTTTGACTATGAAGAGGCTTCACCTCGTGATAGGGCACTTATCCACTCGAGTCAATGTGAGTGTGATCTTGCCTTGAAGTTCCTTTCAGGACTGTCATAGAGTTAATCCAGAACTGTCAACAAGGGAGAGTGAACGTCCACTCTATCATGGGTATTTATCTCGTCGTAAGGGTGGTAGTTCGGCTCGCTAT